AGAACTCATTTTCAAAAGAGACCTGTTTAGGGAGCAGATGGGGGTTAAGGGCCTTGCTCATGGACCCAGGATGGGGCAAATGAGGGTGGGGGCAGGTGTGGGTTCTTCACCTACCCCACCCACATTTTTGATGTTGTCGGTACTGGGGCTTGACCCGTCGATCTTCCGATCACATGCCCACCTTCTCTAACCGTTGTATCTGACATAATTCTATATTAATACATTTTCTCATCTTGTTTTCTTGCCCATAGCAAAATATTGTCCATATCCTGACTTTGAAAATGCTGAAATTACCAGAAGCTCACGGTATTACAGAAATGGTGAGAAGGTCACATACAGATGCTTGCCCGGGGATGGAAAACACTTCACAGCTACCTGTGAGAGAGGTATCTGGACTGGCAACAAAAACTGTTTAGGTAAGAAACATTTTCAAAATGTGCTGTAAAAGTTGTTCCTTTTGTGTTTCTAGTGTGGATTTAGGAATAAAAAAGTTGTTTGTTTGTTTTTCTCCTACACAATCTATAGCTACAACTATGGTATATACAAAAATGTGAGACCCGGGCTATCAAAATGCGCCAGTATGTGCACGGGCTGCAACTCAAAAAAAAAAAGTGAAAACATTTACATTTGCCATAACTGAAATTTGCATTTAAAAATGGTTTACAGAGCGATCTAGCGATTTTGTTGAATTATTTCTAATCTACCTTTAAATTAACCAGGTTTAATATTATTTTAAAATATCAGGGCATAGCAATTAGAAGTCAGTGAAACTCCAATTGACCAACACTGACATCGGTTAATTCTAATTGTATCCGAAATACAGTCTGACCAACAGATCTTTGGTCATTTGTTAAAAATGCAGCATATGTAATTATGTAAACATTTGCATAAAAAGACCACCAAGTCATCCACTGCGTGAAAATGAAGTGACAACAAACCACAGAACTTCCATGGCACACATGATTATACCAATGTAACCACTACTGTTTGACCGTATTAGTCAAATACAATTGTCAAACTCATTGCTGTATAAGCTAACAGCTAGTCTATTGCATGTGTGAATATGGTTCATGTGATTTTTATGTATTTGTTGACTGTTGCAATCTAGAAAACAACACTTTGTTTCCTGTATTAACAGATGTAATACCTTGTTCAAAACCTCCAATTTCACATGGATTCGCAGTCGGCTCATTCATCGACACAGTGTATTATTCCTGTGATGAAGGTTATAAACTTTTTACCAAAAGTTGGTGGGGTCAGGCCAAATGTACTAATGGTCATTGGTCTAAATTTCATTTGTGTATAGGTAAGTAATTTTGATTGTTTAAGTTTGGTGATTGTCAGCATGAGATCATAATAGCTCTTTTCAAATAGCATTGTCAGCTATTGTATTGTACGGTTTAAGATGAGGACAAACTACACAATTTTTGATAGATTTTACCCACAGTTCCCAGTTGGGTGTGCATTAGTGTCGACATGGAAAGTTGGCTTAAACAAAAAACAAAAAACAAAAAAGCATTAATATCTGAGAGGTAAAGTTGCAAAAATGTTTGAGAAGAACAGCCCTGGCCTGACCTCGGACACAATCAGTTAGAGTGAACTGGTTACCAACACAACTGCAAACGCATGTGGCTAACATCCATTAAATTCTAATGTCTCTGAAGGATTTGAATTGAATGCTTGTATTTAGATGGGTATTTTTCTGAACTGGAATTGAACAGGGCATTCAAGTAAACGTCAATGTCTTTGGTGCAAGATTTTTAAGTTGGTAGGAGTTACACAGTATATAAAAAGAGGTAGGTTTTTGGGGACTTTTTTGCATGTATGTGGCGGTGCAGAGTGATGGATGCTGGAAATCAGAGGGAGTGACTTTTTCCACCACCAGGTGAAGGCACCCCAATCATTTGAGGAAACTACACTTTTAAGCAAAATAAAAATAAAAAGCATAGTTTCCTCTAATGGTTTGGATGGCTGGTACATGGAGGTGGCCATCTTAGATTTTGATTTGGCAACCCAACTGTCAATAGTGATATCTCTTACACACCAAAATGGACGTTTCTTATTTTTCAAGTTATCTAGGTCACAAGAGGGATGGACATTTATGGTGGCAACCTTCTTAGATTTTGACGTGGCAGCCCAATTTTTAACAGGAACCCTTCTTATGCTTAGATGTATCCAGACGCCACAATGGAAGCCTGTACCTCACTTTTTTCCAAATTATCCAGCTCACAAGATGGAAAGACGGGATGAGTGTATTTTCAGTTCCTCTATACATGTCTCAATGGGTGTCGCGATGGTGGGACGCACAAAATTGCATTAACTTATGATTAGGAAAAGCATAAATATCAAAACAAAGATTATGAACTATGAAATTTCGTAATTCATGACAAACCCAAGTGAAGAACTCTTGGGAAGGCCTCATTCATTATACAAACATCTGTGCCAGTGGAAAAGCAGGAATATCAACATTTCCACTTTCCTGAATTAATCATGCACAGAATAGTTGTCAGACACAACAAAATAAAAAAAAGTATTGCCCAAATGATGTATCTAAAACACGCTCCAACACCCCCTCCCCCAATCCAAGGGTGGGTGAAAAAATATGCAATTATTTGCTCGTAACAATTTATTCAGTTTTTGCCGAGTATTGTTTAGTATATCATTTGTACAGTATTTGGCAAAGAGTGAGGGTGTCAGGATTTTCAGGATGAGCAAGACAGGAATGAACCCAGTGGTGCAGGCAGGACTCGGAGGCAGACCATAAAATTAAATATACTTTAAGAAGGAAAGTAAAGAGGCTGACGTGGCAGCAAAACTTACATAACTGGATAACAAGACAGGACAGGATGAGACCATACCCAACGACGAACCGACACTGAATAACACACAGACCTAAACTTAAAAACATGGACTAGACGAGACATAATCACAAACAGCTGGAAAGGATAAACAGGTGATACAGATCTAAATAATACACAGGATGAGATGCAGGGTGGCCACACAGGGCACCATCCTTACAGAGAGAGGGAGAGTGCTTACAAAGAGAACTGGACCACAGAAACTCTTGCAAGGGTTTGATGTATTTTGTTGGTCTGATAAACTATGCAGTTTAAGATTCAACATCAGGTGCATTTAGGTGTGATGAGCAGTATTTTATTAATCATACAAAAATCACCTTAAACCAGCGTGTTAGACCGTATCCAAATTATTTTCAAAATCTGTCGTCTTTGAAAGTTGTGTAGTGTGTCCCAGCTTTGACTGCAAATAGTTATTAGAATTTGGAACAGTAACTTATTTTTATTGTATAAGAGTGGCTCTATTAAGGAAATGAAAAACAAAAACCTGCATATTTAGGTTTTTGCTCATGTTTGTTACAGAGTTGTGCATTTGTTGTTGACACTTTATAACAAGAGTTACAGTTTTAATGATTTTAATCATGCTCTACAGAAAATCGTTTTTGTGGAGAAGCTCCTGAGATTCCTAATGGAAGAGTGGAACTCAGAAATCATCCTGGGCATTCTGAAAGATTTGAGATTGTTTGCAGTGAAGGATACAGAACTGAGACTGACCAGCTACCTTGTCATGATGGAACATGGGATTTAGAAGCACTGCAAACAATCTGCAGCCGTGAGCCATCTTGATTACAGTAATAATACATTTCAAATGTAAAGTCTGCAGTTAAAGGTTAATGTTGTGAAATATTTTTGTGTCTTTCAGCTGCTGCTGAACGCTGCAGCTCACCACCTAAAGTTGAAAATGCAGTTGTTAAGACGCCATATCAAAGCAAATACTTGTCAGACACTTCAGTAACTTATCAATGCCGTAAAAGCTATAGGATGACAGGAAAAGACACAATTACATGCAAGGATGGAAACTGGGAGACGGAGAACATCACCTGTATTCGTATGTACATAAAGAAGACCCTCAGAAAAGTCCTTGTGACGTTTCCATTGACTAATCTATTTTTTTTAAAGTAACTTTAAGGAAAAATAGCTGTTTAACTAGTAGTTTACTTTCAGGGAAATAGTCCAGCCGAATATTATCAAAAAATATAATTTAGTAATCTATGTGGCTGTTCTTTGTTTTTCAAAAATAATATTCAAATATGAACTAATTCATAAACAATGTTGCCTGAACTTATTCTTGTTAAAGAGCACAACACTCAAGTCACATCAGACGCCCTACATGCTAGAAGGTGGGATTAACACCATATCCTGTCCTTTTTTTCAGCTTATTGTGAGAAGCTCCATGATTTCAAACTGACAGTTAATTCTTCTATGGATAAAGAAATGTATGAGGATGGAGAAGTCATTGAGTATGTGTGTAACGCACCTGGTACAATTGAAGGCAGTGCAACATGTGTCAACAGCAAGTGGACAAAAACAGTTGAATGTCCAGGTAGGATGAAACGTTATTGAACAAAATGTAATAAACAAGAGTTTTTAACAAAGCTCTGTTTATTCATTGGTTTGTGTCTGTCTTGGTTTTTTCAGCCCCTCCTTGTGAAATTGGTGAACTGACTTCAAACCTCAGAATATCTGGATTTCCACCAAAAGACAACCGAGTGAATGCTAGAAATAAAATACGTTTTTTCTGTCTGGAAAATTATGATTTAGAGGGTTCTGCAGAAATTGAATGTTTAGAAACAGGAATGTGGAAATCCCCCTTCCCAAACTGTTCTAGTAAGTTCACTTTCGTTAAGTTGCAGCTTTTATTAATATGTTATTACCTTATTTGTGTTTAACTACATTTCAAATAAAATGAAAACAATAATAATCAAAATAAGTTTCTATGAAAAAGGTTTGTCTAACCTTGAATTTAGATTTAAAGATGATCTGATTCTGTAATAGTGTGGGACAGATTGATCATGTAACAATTGAACTGTTATGAAGCAGCATTATAATAAATTAGAGCTGTATTTCTAACCAACACTAATTTATTGTGGTATTACTGCCTGTTGGGATGTATTCTTCATTATGTTAATCTGTTAATTTTCTACAATATAAGATTTTTATAGATAATTTTACTTTAACATTTTGCATTTTTTGATCGTATTGTCATTTGAACCAAATTTTCCTCCACAGATGGCTTTACTGTGTTATATGTATTGTTTTTTGGTTTTTTAGACCTCACAGTAAAACATGTTCTGGTTTTCTAAATAGAAAAATGTGAAGTTCCTGAGGTAGCGAAAAGTCTACTCATCACCCCATCTGCAGCTTATTACAGTAAAGGGGCAAATATAAGATTTGAATGTCGTGAAAGTGGACGCTTCATTGAAGGGAAGAAGCAGATTGAATGTCTGGGAAACAGAACGTGGAGTGCCCCCCCTCCAACATGTGAAAGTAAATCTTCTCCTCATAAAGCCAAGCAGCTTAATTTTCTTTCTTTATCTTAGATTTGAGTGTTGACATCAGAACTGAAAGATTGTGTTTGTTTCTTTTGTCAACATAATGTTGGACA